TAAATTTTACAAACCTTCCCCAACCTGTGAATTCCAATAAAGTAACAATTATTAGTAATAATAATGGTAATTATTAACATTCAATAATTGATTATTTTCATTTTATTAAAATTAACAATATTTATTAATATCCACTTTTGATAAATATTTCATAGATTCTAAACAAATTGATTTAGCTATACCAGATGACTTACCTGAATAAGTTAAACCCTGTCATTTTATTACATATTAAATTATTTATTATTTCTTTTTATTTATCTGGTTATTATAATTGTGATATTAAATATCGAGTAATGATATTATATAATAACTTTGGATTTTTTTTTTCATTTTGAAATTCGGATGTCAAATATGCACACTAAATAAAAAATAATGATTTTTGACAAAAAAATAAATGTAATTTTTAATAATTACACATACATAATTCCAGTATTGTTTGTTTCTTACCTTTTCAAATCAATGATTTCATTTTTTTATAGCATTAACAAATTGAAGTGATGTACTATCAATATAAATATTAATATTAAAAATTTTAAAATTTAATACATGTATATATCTGAATAATTTAAATATAATAAAAATTATACCTAAAAGCCCACATCTAATCATTTCAACTTGCTTATTGAACCACTATCAGTCAACTTCCACAAGAGGTTCCCTATACTCCAGGTTTGGTTGTTCCCAAATGATTCTTTCCTCCAAAATACACAACAGACACAAACTACAATATGCTGATTGTGGGTTTGTTGAGTCAAACTTCTGATCTTATTTGGAAACTTTGATGTTTCCCCCAATAGGAAGGGACACTATGAGTACATTAAAAAATACCACCTTCAATAGATAGCTAAGTCCTGCTTGTGTTGGTACTAGCCACATTGATGCTTGAGAAAAGAAGAAAATTTCAAATAAGTCAAACCTCGATAAACCGAACTACCATAACCCGATTTTCGCTTTATAACGATGCAAAATTGATTAACCAATAAAAATTATTTCGTTAAGCAGAATTTTATTATAATTTCTATAAACCCGAACTTAATGAAATAATAAAAATATGACTTTCTAAGCCGAATATGATCATAAACTGGTTTTAAAATTAGTTATACAATAAGTGATATTCTTAAAAGAAGAGCTGAATATCTAGCAGTTGATCCATATGAGCAATTTATTTTTTTCTATGATAATTGTTATGTCGCACAATATTAATAAAAAACAAGCATGGGGAATCTAATAGTGCACCATTGGATCGACTTCCAGAAGAAAGAGAAAGGTTGCAAAATTTGATTTCTAATTATTCACTTCATGATGTGTTTAATTGTGACGAAACAGGCTTATACCAAAATACAGAACCTTCGAAAACACTAAAATTTTGGACACAAAAAATTCAAAAAAATAGAGTAACAATCCTTTTGACATGTAATGCTACAGGTAGTGAGAAATTATATCATTATTTATATATAAATATAAAAATCCTCGTTCACTTGATGGTAAAAATAAAAACGATATGTCAATTGGTTATCATTGGAATCAATCAGCATGGATGCAAGTCAGTATATGGAATGATTATCTACAAAAACTTGATAAAAAAATGCATTTTCAAAAGTGAAAATTTTTATTATTGGTCGATAATGCACCGGTTCATTCTCATGAAATTTTAGATACTTTGAACAATATTAAAGTGGAATTTTTTTTACCAAATACTACTAGTCATTTACAACCGTGTGACGCGTGAATTATTCATTCTTTTAAAGCGCAATATAAAAAATTGTTGGTTCATGATCGCATTGAAGCTTATGAGACAGTTTAGATATTAGAAAAGCCGGTTGCTCCAGTTACAATATATGATGCTATTTGTTTTACCAAAAAAAGCATGGGAAGTGTAACGTCAACAGTAATAAAAAAATGCTGGAAACATACTGGAATTTTACCTGAAAATTTAAAATTTTTGAATAATGTTGAAGTTGAGGTTAAAGTTGATATTGAACAAGAGAATCGTGAAGTTCAAGATTTAATTAACCAACTTCCATTTGACGATTCACTTTTAGCGGATGAGTATTTAAATATTGAGAATAACATGGTTGCAGGCGAATTAGTAATGGAAGACGAGGATATTATTGCATTAATTCAACCAACAGAAATAGAAATAGATGAGCAACAGGATGAAACCTTTATTCCAAAAATTTCTATATATTACAGATACCATAATTGGTGTTGAAAATTTATTAAATTGTTAGTATATCCTCCAAGTGATTTTGATGTATGCGAAGATGAATTAAAATGTATTCGTACTCTTGGAAAAAATTATTAAGTCATAAGGTTAATAGTTCCGTGCAAAAATCTTTAGATAAATATTTTTGTTTAGAATAATTTTGTAAAATTTATATTTTATAACGTTGTAAGCCGAATTTATTTTGAACAATTAATAAATAACGTTTTGCATCCAGGGCTGGGCTGCGTAACTCAAATGAGCATTTGGCTAAACTGATCAACTATTTAGTCATATGTTAAGTCAGGTGATTATTACTAAATTAGGTTTTTAACCCTTTACGCTGCCAGCCCTGTTTGTATCATAAACCGAATTTTGATAAGCCGATCCTATTTTTGTGATTCCCAAATTTAAAACTTTGTATATAATAGTGAAAAATATTTATAATGTAATAATGATGATAACAGTTACTATTAAATGCATTTGAAAAGATTTTGGCAACATTTTTAAACCAATTCATATAATTTAGGTTCCTATTATACAAGAAATATAATTTTTTAGATTTATACCTTATGTATATGTGCATATATAAATGTGCGATGTATGGCAAATGATATCCTTTAGTAATGATTCTCCTGTTTCTACTTCAGATCTATCTAAAAGAAACTAAATATAAATTAAAAAATCAGATTCCATAACTACAAACAAACATATGAATTATTGATCAATACTTTTGCTTGTCTTTCATTATGTGTGTTTATATCATTGGGATCAACAATATTATAAAGATTTATATTTTCTCTTCATATTTCTTCTAATGTCATATTTTGTGTTAACTTAAAAATAAAATACAAATAATCAAATTAACATAAAAATTTTAAATTATTTCATTCATTCATTTTTTTTTATATTTAATTACTTGAAGTTCCTTTCTTGCTGCATCATCAAGCTCCTATCTGATTCTTGGTAATAGTACATTATTTCTTCTTCAATCTTGTTAAATCTCCAACATCTTTCATAACTTGAGTTAAACTCTGATCAACTTTATTACAAGTTATAGATATATCATTAGTTTTTTT